GATTAAGGCTAGATAAAAGGTGTAGTTCTAAAGTGTTATAATGGTTGTGTGTGCTTGTAGAGTGTTAGCCAAATTGTGTTAGGTGCTGCAAGTGAAGTCTAACTTAGGTTGAGTTGAAGTTGGTTGAAGTAGGGTGATATATGAACTGAGGTTGCATGAATTCATATCATCATCATCTTCCTCTCACCATCCTCTTCAGAACCCCCACAAGCACTGCCACCAACAGTTGTCATTTCCACCTTTGCTGACTATATCTCTCCATCGCGACGCGTGCCTGAGTGTGCTGCGCTTGCGCTGAGTTCACCGTCCACCGCCAACATCAAGCTCCTCTCTTTTCCCTTGACAAACTGGTTACCATCTCAGGTCGTATCGGTTGCCGTTTCCTGCTCACGATCGTCGTTCATTTTTCGGATTTGTGAGTGGGTGGTGGTTTGTGAGTAATTTGGTAGTGGTTTGTTTGGTGGCAGCGGGGTTGACTTTGGGGTTTAGAGGGATTGCGATGGTGGTGGATGGGTGGAATGGTGGTGGTGGTGGGCTCGGTTTGTGGTTGTTTTTAGATGAGTTTGTAGGTGGGCTTGTAGCTGAGTTTGTGGTGCTTTTTGGGTGGGTTTGTGGCTGAGTTTGTGGTTGAATTTATGAGTGATTTGGTGGTGGTTTGTGGTTGTTGTTTGGTGGCACTGGGCTGACTTTGGGGTTTAGAGGGATTGTGATGGTGGTGGTGGGTGGTGGTGGAGGTGGTGATTTTGGGGTTTCAGTCGTGATGGTGTTGAAAGGTGGTGGTGGTTGGATGGTGATGGTGATGGTGGCTGGCTGGCGGTGTAATCAAAGGCAGTGTGGTAATAGCATTGTTTACAATTGTGTCAAAAGTCAAAATTCATTACTAGTGTTAATTTAAGGGTGAGAATATGGAATTTATGGAACCATGGGTGGGAACTTGCAGATTTGCCAAACCTTGGGTGGCTACATGTCGTTTACTCTTTTCTTTTTTGGTGTTTAGTTTTCTATATTAAAGTTATTAGATTCTTACCGGTATATTTTGTGATGTAACAACCCTCAAGCCATTTTCAAGGATCCCTTCAGAAGAGGCAACAATATTCTTGTGAGTTTTACTTTATATACTATGTTTCGCTTTTGTTTGTGTTGAATAAATACTGATGTAATCAGTTTTGATTTAGGTTATGTGTGATGCTTACGATTCTGATGGACAACCAATTCCAACAAACAAGAGATATGCAACAGCCATCCTTATGTTGTTGCAGAAGAGCCTTGGTATTTATTATTGAACCTTTGGTTTTTTCACAAGTTTTGCATATTTTCTTCTTGGACAATATGATTGACTTGCTATTTAATTGGTTATCATATTCAGCAAGAATACATCCTGTTCCCTCTTGGCTGGCCCGTTGGTGGTTACCCTAGACCTCAGGTTTTGTTTCTCTCCCTGATTCCTTGATTTTGTTACTTCTTTGCAAGCACTTGGAGTGATAAATGCTAGACTTTATTTCCTGAACAACAATGTATATAGAGCATTATTCTTTCCTGCTTAAATTGTTTTGACATTCATGCTATCGTTTTGTGTTCATTAGCTCCCAAAGTCTTTTTATAAATTCTAGATTTTTATAAATATGGCTTTTTTGCTTGTTTATTGTTTGATTTATTGTTGATACATTTCTTATAAGTGTTGTGTGACAAGATATTGTTTCATCTTAACAGGGACCATACTACTGCACTGTTGGTGCTGAAAGGGCAAAGGACATTGTTGAGTCCCAATATAAGGCTTGTTTGTACGCAGGAATTAACATTAGTGCTATCAATGGAGAAGCCATGCCAGGGGAGGTAATTCATCCTTTTTTTTTTTATTAGTGGTATTAAAATTAGCAACTAAAGCATTCTTCATACTTCATAAGTTGGCAATTTCAGGTAGGTCCTGTTGTCGGAATCTCCGCTGGTGATGAACTTTGGGTAGCTCGCTATATTTTGGAGGTAATTTATGGTAATCAATTTTTGAAGATACTTCTGTGAATACTACTCTTAGCAATTCAAATTTTGGAGTATCTTAAATGGCCTTGTTTGTTTTTAACACGGGATTACAGAAATTGCTGGAGTTGTGCTTCCTTTTGATCCCAAGCCGATTCAGGTCAATTTTCCTTGATGCATTTAGTTTTTGTTTTTGGTTAAATTTCCCATTCTCATTGTTGAATTGAACAATAGGAGCCACAGAGTTATCCCATATTGTTGTGCTATTTAACAATTTGTTAGTTCGCACACTTAACTAAATCTATAATTTTTTTTTTTTTTTTTTCTAGCAGGGTGATCGGATTGGTGCTGGTACTCTCGCAATTTTCAGGTAACTTTATAAGTCTGTGATGAATGAATCATTCATTTAAAGTTACAGACTCATATATTAAATTTTGTTAATGTTTCAGCCCCAACTCAATGAGGAAGGAAGGAGGCTTTGAGGTTCTCAAGGCAGCTAAAAAGATTTGGCTATGGCTCAAAAAGCGTGTTGCTTGTGGTGAAGGCAATGACCGCCGTCTCACTGGTGAAGAGGAAACTGCTGACACCAAGAGATCCAAGACATTCAAATGGGTATAAACAAATTACCCTTTATTTTCTATCAGTTTCTACTCCTTCCTGATGTACATGCATTCAAGTATGCCTGGATTGTGTATTTGGGTCCATTTTTTTCCAATGTTTTTCTGGTGAAATGCAACAGTTTGTTGATAATTCCTTGTATTCTGTCATTGAACAGGGTGCGGCAAACCGTGTTGCCCAGACATGGATCCAAATGTGGTCACTTCCATGATTGCTGAAACAAGATTTCAGATATTCTGGTTTGCAGATGAGTAATAAAATAAATGTGTTTTACTAGGATCCTTTAAATCTGTTTTCATGCTTAGTATAGCTTGTGTTTCAGTGGCGTCCCTTGTATTTGGGGTTGGCGAGGTGGGCTCACTGATTCCATCTCTTTTTGGTGTGATGTGAGAATGATGTAAACTTTATATTAATAACTATATGAAAGGGTTTGCCTTGGTGTTTTGTATGCATTTATTCTGCTCAACTGTCAGGTTAGACAGTTTTTAAACCATGGCAAACTTGCCTCAAATCACTAATCAGGTTTCATTGAACTTTAACTTTGAGTAGACACAGTTTCACAGACAGAAGATTAGATTGCCTTACTGAAGTGTGTAACTAGAATAGAATTTAATGATTCTAAAATCGTTCAAAATGAGGCACTAAAACTAAATGAAATTGAAATTATTAGGTCCACTCCATTTGGGGTCTTACAAATACAGAAGGCAAATTTACTTTTTTCTCTCTCTACCCCACTATTTTAATTAGTCGTACGTAAGATTTTAAGCAGCAAACCACCATTGGGTGGATCCAACAATCAACTAGGACTTTTGGGTGTATTACTTAAGAGGTTCTAAATTCGATCACTTGGATTGCAAAATAGGGTGGTCACTAAGGGATTTACTTGGCTATCAACGGACACCCTCGGTCACCAAAAAAAAAAAAAAAAAAAAAGGATTTTAAGTACAAATTAGTAACGATATGTTATGACATCTAAATATCTAAGCTTTAGATTTTCTACCAATAAATCTCACTTGTTCTGTTTTGGTTTTTAGGTTTCATTTATTGTTGTTGTTTGATATTTTACCACCCAAGTTTTTTTAAGTATTCAGATGAAGTTTGATGGCTTGATGCATCCCATCATTATTTATTTATGTTTATTCTGAGGGAGAGTCCAACCATAATTACGTTTTTCGCTTAAAGTATTTATAAATACTATTATTCCAATAGTCTTAAAATCTTAAAATAATAAATATTATAAATACTATTATTCCAGTAAAGTCTTAACATTTAGCTTAAAATCATATTTAAAATTGTATCATATTCAAATGAGTAAATAACTTTTCCCACCCACGGTTTGGCTAATCTGTAGTTCCCATCCAAAATTTGGCTAATCTGCAAGTTCCCACCCCTGGTTTCATAAATTGCAGATTCTCACCCTTAAATTAACACTGTTACTTTTCTCTCAAAAGAACCCTCACGTATCAAATTTCTCTCAAATAACCCCTAGAGGAGATCCCGACCAAGCTAAAAATCTGGCCTGATTTTGACACCACTGTGCCTCCCTGACACCACCATCAACATCCTCTTATCCTTCTCACCCAAACCCCTAACTTTTCCACCCGATTGCACCTCGGTGAGCTGCCGGAATTTGGTTGGAAAGGGACGACAAAACGCAAAAACCTAAAGGAGAGGTAGCGACAATCGGCGGGCGATTGCAGTTGGTGACGTTTCGGGTTTTGGTGGGGGGAAGCCGACGATACTATTGGTGGTCTTGGTGGTGGTTTTCGGTACCAGAACCTGCCATAATTTGGATGAAACGCCGATTGACACTAAAAGCAATGATCGGTGATTGAGGGGTTCAATCAGGCGGAGAGGTTAGGGGTTTTGATGTGGGGGTTGAGGGGATTATAATGGTTGTGTTGGGAGGGGTCGATTGTGCCAAAAACAGGCTGAAATGACCTGAAATTGCCAGTAGGGTGAATTTGAGAAGTGACGGGTTATCTTGAAATTTTTCGGTGGGGTGAATTTGAGAAATGAAGGATTATTTTGAAATTTTCATCTTTGAAATGACCATTTTACCCTTTTAACTATTAGATTAAATAATTTTCTATTAATTTAAGGGCAGAAATCTGCAATTTATGAAACCAGGGGTGGGAACGTAGATTCACCAAACCTTGGGTGGGAAAATGTTGTTTACTCTATTCAATTTATAAGCAGCCCAATTCTAACTCTGAGGTAGGAATAGGATAAGGATGTACGACAATAATCACATTTAATGACAGCTTAAGTGGGAGCTAAACGCATTGCCAAACAACCCCTTTCTCCATAACCGAGAATTTTAAAGGGTTTTACCGTTGAAGAAGCAACATTTAAACCCCTACACAAAACCTCCCTGCTTTGAAGACTGAAGGCCGAAGCGTCGACAAAAATGTATGTACGACAAGCAGCTTCTAATTTTGTAAGAAGAATCCATAGAGTACCTTCTCGAATCTGCTGTTCTTCTGGTGACACATCCATAAACGCATCGCCATTGCCGCTTTTCAGTATGAATTAATCGCAATCTTTATCTCCATCAGTCCGTGTTTGTGTTAATATATATATATTTTTTTTAAAGATTAAGTGTATATCGTATCTAATTTTGAAATTTTTAGTTAAATTTATAAAATCTTGTTCTCATTTGAGGTTTAGTTGTTTTTGGGCTTCAAAGATTTGTTTTTTATTGGGTTAATTTTTTTATTTTTTTAATTAAGAGGGAAGATTCGCAACTATATATTTAAAGTTACTCAAGTTTGAGTATGTCATCTTTAATCTTGAAATTGTAGTATTTAAATGCTTTAAGTCTTTCTGTTTTTGGGGTTCAAAAGATTTTTATTTTCTCGGTTAATTTCGGTTTTAGAGTAGGAATGGTATGCCATCTTTAATATTTAAATTGTGGTGTAACAATCTTGCTTTTATTTGATGCTTTTTTCTTTCCTGGACTTCAAAATATCTTATTGTCTACATTCTTTCTGGGGTCTATTTCTATTTTCCTTTTAAAGCGTGAGAATGATCATATCAACCCATGAGTTATTCTACTATGAATTAACTACATTTGCCAAGACTGAGTATGTCGTCTTTAATCTTGAAATTGTGTTTACTTATGGCATGAAATTAATAAAATATTGCATTTCTTTGCTAATTCCCGCATCATATTATGTTAAAATAAAATTTGGAGCTATTAGTTTTGCTAATTTTATGGAAATATCTTCCAAGAAACCAAAACCGATTTTGAAGACTAGTTAAAACTATTATTGAAGGACTTCAAATCCTTGTATACTGTATAGATGTATTTGTTATATAATTTCTAGTTTTCTGTTGGTGATACTTTGTCAAGCTAATGCATTAGTAGTACTATTTTGATTCGATTTACAAATCGTGATGGTCCTTTTCTTTCTGTTTATTCTTATTTGTCATTAACTGGTTTGATTCATTTGAATAACTTAGCCTTTCTAATTATCATTTCAGGCAAAATGAAATTCTCCGATCAATTTGGTTTTGGAAATTATACGTGGAGAAAAAATCAAGAAGATTCTTTCCTATGGATTCTTTTGTTTGGTCAAGCTGGTATACTTCTTTCTTGGTTCCTTGGGTGACAATTTTAGTAATATAATTATTCTTCTAATAATTGTTATCTCTCTTTTTTTAAAGTTTCTTCTGAAGTGGCTACAGTAATAATGTATATTTAGAAAGGATTTCTTGTGTGTAATGTATGAGCAAGACCAAAAAATATAAGTTAAAGAACAAAACACCTAATAATGTGTCAGTATTGTGAATTTCATTTTGTAACTTTGTCATGTTGTTGGTTAGTAGGGTTAGTATATGAAGATTTAGGAAAGGTGTAATTTATGTGCATGAGGCTATTGTCGATTAAAAATATACGGTGCTTGTCATATTTTTTTGTACATCACTCTGGTATTTTCTTCGAGAAATGATTCCTCTGTTTATGAAGAATTCTTGTTTAGTTTTGAGGCTTGTTTTGTGACAGAATAAAAATTTCAAATAATATCTCCGTTCAAATCTGATTTGGTTTGCAGCCACGTTGTTGGGAATAAATTCCACAATTGTCTTAGCAGAAGATGGCTCAATTCAATCAAGCTCTCAAAGTGACCTAGAAGGGTCCAATGTAGTTGGATTACGCAAAATTGAGGATGGTTCTGTGATATCTAATATACACACATCAAAATGGCGAGTTTTTACAGATAATGGGAGGGATTTTTTCATGCAGGCAAGCTTATTTCACCTACATACTGTTGCTATGAATATATAAATTGGCTGTGTTATTAAGAAAACTATTTTTGATAGGGAAAAATGGAGGAAGCTGAGAAGTTTTTCCTTTCTGCATTGCAAGAAGCTAAAGAAGGATTTGGAGAGAGGGACCCACATGTTGCTTCTGCATGCAACAATCTGGTTGGTCTGCTATTTAGATGCTTCAAGTATCATATTGTTGTTTGTGGCTACTACCCTATTTGTCTTCATATAAAATATAGTTTTGAGAATTGCAGAGTATATCAAGAAACAAATAGGAGAAATAGAATTTTGAAATGCCATTAATAATGTCACATATTGCTGTTAAGCTTGAATGTATGTTATCTAGATAATACAAATTGTTAAAATGTTAATTTATCAATTACATTGAGCACAAGAATTTTTGTCTAGTAATTATTGGGATTTTCTTAATGATTATGCTGTCTAAGTTTCTGTGTTGTGTTTGATTGCAGTTCATTTTTCTTTTCCCCCCGCATTGTTTAGCACTTGTGAAAATAGTAAAATAGACTTACAACTTAAACTTCTGAATAGATGATTAATTAATACAAACTTGACTCTAGAGATAATGAATGTTGACCTTGGGATGGCTTCTAATAGGCAAGATGTTAGTTCCTATGGCTTTAAACTCAAATTAATGAATAAGAAGTTGATGACAATCTAGTTGAGAATTCAAATGTAATTTATTTATTTATTTATTTTTTTTTGAGAAATTCAAGTTATGAACAGTTTTCCAATGATTGAAGCTGATATGTTTAGTACATATGCAAGATGTTAGTTCCAATGGCTTTAAACTCAAATTAATGAATAAGAAGTTGATGACAATCTAGTTGAGAATTCAAATACAATTTATTTATTTATTTTTTTTTTTTGAGAAATTCAAGTTATGAACAGTTGTCCAATGATTGAAGCTGATATGTTTAGTACATTAAGTTTGGTGGAGATGGTTGCCCTTGTGAGATAATAAGACCTAGAGATGATATGATAGGGAAGAGTGACTTTATGTAAGTGGTAGGGACAAGAAGGGAAATGTTAGAGAAAAATTTATACAGGTTGAAGTAGTAAAAAAAGATTTAGCTTTTAAACAACTGATCAAAATATGGTTGAGAATGTCGAATGCATTGGAAATATTATGTAACCATTCCCAAATTATTTAAGTGATTACTCTTAGTCAAGATGAATTGATTATTGAAGCCTGGTAACTGAATACAATGCATGCTTTTGGAACTGTTGGCAAGTCTTGAGATGGTATGATTGGTGGTTTATGATGTGAGATGGGGGTGATAATTAGTGTAGGTGGTCAAAGTAGCCTTGATTTTAGAACCTGTTCTCAAGTTGTGTCCCTCCTTCCTAACCCCAAAAAAGCTGGGAAAAATATACCAAAAAGAGAGTTTTTCATCTCAGCAATGATGTTACCCAAAAAGGCCAAGTTTGAAAACCAGTTCTCACTCCACCTTGCCTCCCACAAAAAATCAGGGAAAGAACATCCAAAAAGATTGGCTCACAGGCAAAACATATGCAATTAGCCTCTTTTGAGCTACCATGTTGGTTTTACTTTGCATTAGGCATGACCAGTGACCAAATTCGAACTAAAAGCAGTAAATTTTAGGAGCAGTAATTGTAGTGTCTGCATTGGCTGAAAGTTTCGTTCATGGATTGCCTTTGTCAAAGGATATACTTATCGCTGTCGAGCTTAGGCTAGAAACCCCCTGCCTCCAGTATGATGATCTAAAAAACAATTGACAGTCACTTTGAGCATAGGTGGTGTATTATATGTTAGTGTATCTGATGTATCTTTCATTGAAGGTAATAATAGAAGACTTTGAAGTTGATAGATTTATTATGTTTTAACCCTAGTTTAATACGCGTTTTATACGCGAATTATACGCTTAGCCGTATAATTCGCGTATAAAACGCGTTTTAACGTATGTTATAAAAATTGCCGAATTATATGCGTATAATATGAATACCAGTATAATTCGCGAATTATACCGTATAATTCGCGATTATTCCGCTACTATTGCAAAAAAAAAAAACCTATTGCTCACCCCAAAACGACGTCGTTTTAGGGGGTTTAATTCAAATTTACACGGTATCTCTTCTCTTCTTCAGTTCTTCTCTTCCTCATTTCTGCGACGGATGACATTTTCAGCTTTTTCCTCAGTCTTCAACTTTTTCACTTTTCTGCGCCAATACTTCTCTCTCCTCCTCAGCTCGACGGCGAACTGGTTGAGATTTAACGGGTTTGTGTTTGTGTTTGGGGGAGAAATAAGTTTAAAGAAAGGAAAGTATTGGCAAAAAAATAACCTGTAAAGCAGATGCCATTGTTGGAACTCTGGAAGAAGCAGTTGGCTTTTGGGTGACAGGGTGAGACCGTGAGACACTGAGAGATGATTTGATTGAAGAAGAGAGAGGAGGGGGGTTTTCAAGATGGGTCACGGGTGTTTAATTTGTGTTTGTGGTGGATTTCATTCAACACTCAACACTGTAACTGTAGATTGCATTTTATAATTCTATTGCATAAACAAAACAAAAAAAAATATATATTTTCTATTGGTGGGATAGACAGACATGCCCTGGGAATTTGTTAAGGCAAAGAAAAATTAACGTTACCATAGGCAAAGCAAAGCAAAAGATTTAATTTAAGTCAATGCTGAGATACATTAATAATTAGTCCATAAAAATTCAAAACTAGGATTAATATTACCGTATTTTTCAAAACGTATTATTGATAATATACCATATTAAACCCGTATATACCCGTATCGTATTTTTTCCGTATCTGAATTTTATGACCGAATTTTATAAACGTATTTTTTACTATTTGCCGTATTATACCCGTAAAATTCCCGTACCGTTTTTTTGCCGTACCCGTATTTTAACTAGGGTTTAACAGAGTTTTTATTTCTATTACTGCACCTTATTCAAAAAGTCATTGCTTTTTTGGTTATCCTTTAGGCAGAGCTGTATAGAGTTAAGAAGGCATTTGATAGGGCAGAACCTTTATATTTGGAGGCCATTAACATACTGGATCCTCATTTGGTCCTGAAGATATACGGTATGTCTAAATATATTGAATACTATGACAGAAATTCTACCACTGCATGATATACATATATTTAAATATTGAGATAGGGAATGCTTACAGTACCCTTTTTTATTATAAGGATCCAACCTGCTAAATTGTTGCAATATCAATCTACATTGCAAATGTACAAGTGTCTCTTTGAATGGCATGTCAACATGCATTCTTAATTAGTTGAAAATAGAAAAGTTCATATGATCCATCTCCTCCATTTTACACCAAATTCATTGGTTGTGTTGAAATGTAAAATAGGAAATAGAATTATTCTCTTTGTAATATAGGAAATAGATTATCTCTTTGTAATATAGAATAGAATTATTCTCATTGTAATATGGAAATAGAATTATAATAGGAATAGGAAATAGATTATAATAGGATGTAACAATTTACTTCCTAGATTACTTCCTAGATAGTTTTTTGTTTTTGCTATAAATTCATTGTACATCTCATTATGAAATACAAGAAAATATTTCGCCACATGGTATCAGAGCTTGGTATGAAATTTCAAAAATTTTCTCTCTTTCTCGGATTTTTTTTTCGGCAACTGTTCTCCGGCGACTGTTCTCTGGCAACGATCAGAATTTGGTCCAATCACACTGGACTGATCGTCTTCTCCTCGTCGTCCTAACCCGAGTGCTTTCGTCGTCGGCCCCGCTGCACGCGCCTTCACGAGCGGATCGTTTTCCCAGTAGCCCCTCTCTGTTCAGTTTTTCCGGCAAGCGTAAGTTTCTGTGTTTCCGTCAGTTTCAAGACTTCATGGATTCTTCAAAAACAGCCTCTCCTTCGAATCCAAGTGGTTTTTCTTTTGTATCTCTCCCTCCCATCACCACTGAGCGATTAATTGGGACTGCTAATTATTCATCATGGGCTGCCTCTGTCAATTATGGTGTATGGTCAAGGTCTGGAGGATCATTTGACCACCAAAGCTGTCGATATTACTCAGATAAGTCTTCCTGAACTAAAATTGATGCTATGCTGTGTAGTATGTTATGGCAAACTATTGATCCCCCCCTTCACCCTATTTATAAATCTTACCGCTCTTGTGTTGATATTTGGAGTCAGGCTAAACTTCTCTATACAAATGACATTCAACGTTTATATTCTGTTGTGTCCAACCTAGTTCATCTCAAACAACAGGATATGAATATGTCGGTTTCCTTGGTAATGGCTTCCCTTAAGACAGAATTCAATCTGCGGTTACCTGCTGGTAAATCTGCGCAGAAGATTTGGCTCAACGGACAAAGTCTTTATTGCCTGACACTTGCAGCTCTCGGTCCAGATCTTACACCTGTTCGAGATCAAATTCTTTCTGGATCCACCGTGCCTTCCCTTGACGATGTGTTTGCCAAATACTCTGTTCTCCTCCCCTACTACTATACCTTCCCCAGGTGACTCTTCAGTCCTTGTTTCTCAGTCTCAAACTTTTCGAGAACAGGGCGACGAAGTGGCAGAGGAAATCGGCCCAAGTGTAGTTCTGTCATCGGTGGGGGCAACTAAGAGAAATGTTTTAAGTTACATGGTCGACCTACCCGAGCTGCGAATATTGCCAGCTGATCACTTTGATCTTCATTCTGAGTCCTCTACGTGCTAGCTCAGCCCTCCTTAACTCTCACGGTACTGATTATGATGAATCTTACAGTATCAGGCCAGTAAGCAGTCTTCGTCATCCATTGCCCCGTCGCTCAAACGGGTAATTCATTGTTGCCTTCTCTTCTCAGTCTTCTGCTTTAGGACCTTGGGTCCTAGATTCAGGTGCCTCGGATCATATTTCTGGTACCCTCATTTACTTACTCAGATTACAAATACTGTATCTTATCTCCTGTTACTTTAGCCAATGGGTCTAAAGCCGATGTTCAAGCTATTGGATGTGCAAAACCCCTCCCCTCCTTAGCATTAGACTCTGTGCTTATATTCCCAAATGTCCATTTAATCTCGTGTCTGTTAGTAACTAACTACCCGCTCCTTAAATTGCTCTATTCGTTTTAATACTGACTCTGTTGTTATACAGGATCGCGACACAGGACGGATGATTGGCACAGGACCTTGGTTTGGTATGTAAACTTCGTCTTTCTCTATATGTCTAAAACAGTCTCCTCGTGCTTGGTTTGGACGATTTAGCACAGTTATCCAAGATTTGGTATATCGATGTGAGTCTGATCACTCTGTTTTCTATAGACATACATCATCAGGCAGTGTATCTATCTGGTTTTCTATGTCGATGATATGTTATACAGGAAGTGATCAAGATGGCATTGGACAGTTGAAGCAACACTTGTTCAAACACTTTCAGACGAAAGACTTAGGGCTACTCAGATACTTCTTGGCATAGAAGTCGCTCAGTCTAAATCTGGTATTGTTATTTCTCAGAGGAAGTATGTACTGGATATTCTAGAGAAACAGGGATGTCAGATTGCAGACCAATAGACTCTCTATGGATCCTATTTAAAACTTTACCTGGACAGGGGGAGCCTCTTACTGATCCTGGAAGGTATCGAAGACTTGTTGGAAAACTTAACTATCTTACTATCACACGACCGGATATTTCCTTTTCTGTCAGCGTTGTGAGTCAGTTCCTTCAAACTCCGTGTGATAGTCATTGGGATGCAGTTGTCCGGATTTTAAGGTACATCAAGGGAGCACCAGGTAGAGGCTTACTGTATGAACATAAGGGTCATTCGCATATTGTCGGATATTCAGATGCTGTTGGGAGGTTCTCCATCTGATAGACGTTCTACCTCAGGATTTTGTGTTCTTGTTGGAGGAAACCTAGTTTCAGGAAAAGTAAGAAACAAGCGGTTGTTGCAAGATCAAGTGCTGAAGCAGAGTACGTGCAATGGCCTTAGCCACTTGTGAGTTGGTTTGGTTAAAACAACTAATTCAAGAGTTGAGATTTGTCGAAGTATCACAAATGAAGTTACTCTGTGATAATCAGGCTGCCTTTCATATTGCTTCAAATCCTGTTTCATGAGAGGACTAAACACATAGAAATTGATTGTCACTTTGTTCGAGAGAAAGTTCTATCAGGGTGTATTGCAACTAGTTATGTTAGTTCCAACGACCAGTTAGCGACATCCTCACTAAGTCTCTCAAAGGTTCGCGGTTGACTTTATTTGTAACAAGCGTGGTGCATATGACTTATATGCTCCAGCTTGAGGGGGAGTGTTGAAATGTAAAATAGGAAATAGAATTATTCTCTTTGTAATATAGGAAATAGAATTATTCTCTTTGTAATTAGAAAATAGAATTAAATAGGAATAGGAAATAGAATTGTAATAGGAATGTAACAATTTACTTCCTAGATTATTTTTTGTTTTTGCTATAATTCATTGTACATCTCATTATGAAATACAAGAAAAATATTTCTCCACAGTTGTAGACAAAGTTCATGAAATTTCATCACATAACTGAGGTTTTCCTCATAGCAAATTTTCATTGTGATATATATATATTTTTTTTTCATACACTAAATAAAAATATGTCTCTCTTTGATAAAAGCTTATTGTGCTGTAGAACTATATCTATTAGGACTTTTTTCAACAGGATATAATTGTAAAGTCTACTAACAAGATTGATGGGCCTTGAATCCCCTACCTAGACTGACTGCTTTTAGGCTATTATTAGTGGCATTGGTAAGTTATTGACCTTGCTGCTTTACATGAAATTTCTGTAACTAATTCATTATATTTTCCTTGATAATCTCCCTAATCTTCTGAAAAAAAAAAAAAAAAAAGCGATAGAAAATCCATTCAGCCTAGATGCCTTTTTTGGAGAGCATTGAAAAACAACTTCCCCGACCTCTTCCTAAAATTTTCTGTCCAATCAGCTAGCTTGGTCCTCCCTTATGGAGGCCTGATAGGAACCTGGATTCTTAACACTCAACACAACCCAAACAAAGTACAATATACTCAAACAGAACAATATTCCAACACAGATCAGAGACAATTGAGAAAGCACTAATATGAATATACCTCTATATTGATTGATACAGAAATAGATAACAACAATAATGAAGAACTATTAAGAAAACAGTACTGAATGTAACGACAACCTAGCAATTCGAGGAGCTAAGGGCCTCCTTTCCCATATCCCACCAAAATATTCTCTACCCTTTAAAATTCCTATCCCTCAATTTATACTCATAAACGTCACACCAATTCCATTGTAGTTGCCACGGGGATAACCAACTCCCACTTGCACACCATGCCATTTGCCCTTATTATTCCTTTTGTAAATTTGAGTTGGATGAGTTGGGGTCTTATCAATACCCTCCCCTTGAAGAACCACCTTGTCCTCAAGGTGGGGAGATGGGAATTTTGCTGTAATTGAGGTATCCTTAAAGTCAGCTGTTGTGATAATGGCTATTAATAACCCTGCAATAACAATGGTGATCTCAAGTTGGGTATGCCTTTGGATATTATCGTAAGCACATCTTCCACAGCCAAAAATGATAACCAAGGAACTGAAATCGCTATTCAAAATGATAATTTCCGAACTCTTTCTGGCCACTTCACTCCAAGTGCCCATGGCAATCCCCTCATTAGCTTTGTTTAGTGTTGGAGTCTCATTTGTTTTGACCCCAGCCATCGCCACCGTGTGGCCTTCTTGCTTCAAATACTGAATAAGAAGGCGTTGGTCAGTAGGGGGGAAGTGTCCAATCACAAAAATTTGCTTAAAAGTCTCATTTTCTACTCCCAACTTCAATGTAGCCCAGGAAAGAAGCCAATCCTCATTTGAGCTATCAGGACCCTGTGGCATTATAAACAGTGCGCTGATTCCTTTGCACAGAGTGTCAATAACATGCTCATCTAGTGTCAAATTTTCATTGATAAGTGTTTCGCCAATCCAAACTTCCTTACCACTTGGTCTGATGATAAACTTCTTGATAGACTCCATTAATTCCTTGCTCAAAGTTTTGTCTTTAATGTCTGGCATCCTAGGATGATGCTTTTCCTTGTCAAGTTGAGCTGGTAATGGGGTCTGGCCGGAAGCGATAGTAATCTGGTTCATCATCTTCCCCCATGTTGTGCTCTTACCTACAGATGTTGTGAGCATGCGACCATCCCCTCTAATCACCATTGCACCGTAGAAGAGGAAAGAGGTTTGTTCATCAATGGTTGCTAAACCATCACCCAACTTCAAGGATTCACACGATATGAAAAAATCATCAAAACATACATGGTATCCCCATCTTAAGCACATTATGACACCAATATTTCCCTATCTAAGTACATTGATTTCTGTCATTCGCCGGAAAAGAGCTGTTCGCCGTGGATAGAAGTTGTGATCGTCCGGTGGATTTGGTGTGGTACTCGGGCTTTGATAACTAGAGGCTATCGCTGCTCCAGATGGTGCCTCTTCCCAAGTTCAGCGCCTCGACAAAGAGTTGCCGGAATATCTCGGTTGATCGATGAAGGGAAATGGCCTGAAGTTATTTGCAATTTGATTTAAATTTGATTGGACCCTTGACCCACTTTCCATTGACCCAGTTTCTCTACCTGACCCAAACCCAGTTGCATTAAAACCTTTGCCCAGTCCATTATCATATTGCTCAAGCCCACACTCAATTGTATTTGCTATCCCTTGTTTACCCAGCCCAACTGAAATTATTCCTCTATTAAACCCATACAGCTCAACTTGTTTAATAGCTCTATTAAGCCCAAACTTCATTTCTTCTAAAGCCCAATTCTTTTCCTCTATTTTCTAGGCTAACTCAATAAACTGTAGTAATGAATTGGGTTGGCTCAATCTCACTTTAGCCTTAATATCTTGTTTGAGCCCATTGATAATAGCAACCCACAATATTTCTTCTCTTTCTTCACACAAAGGTGCAGACAAAGCTTCAAATCTCCAACGATATTCATCCACCGTGTCAGTCTGCCAGATTTCCATCAAAGCTTCATAAGGCCCTCCCTCTTGTGACCCACCAAATCTATGAGGAAGAGCAAGCTTAAAAGTCGGCCACGTCGTTATCGGAGCTCTGATTTCCATCCACTGGAACCCATTTATTGCATCTCCCTCCATACACACCACCACCGTGTTCATCCTTTCGTTCTCAGCCACCTGATACACCTTAAAATACCTTTCTATCATGAATAACCAAACGTACAGATCCTTCCCCATGAATATCGGTATTTCGATTCTTCGGCCACGGACTCTGGTCGATTTCGTTCAGTAACTATGGTTTTGCCGTTCTGGTTTGCATTGGGTTCACTTTTCTCTTCCCCTTGGTTTCGATTTTGTTTCACTGGTATTTCTGTTGACCCATCCCTCTTAACTCCTTTGGTTTCCTCCTCATCTTTTCGCCTCATCCATGCTAGCATTTCCTTCAAGCACTCTCTGATCGTTCCCAAATCTTCCTTCATCGATCTCATATCTTTTTCCACATTTCCCATTCTAGTCTCCATTTCCGCTTTTACCATTCCGCAAGCTGGCTCTGATACCAATTGATAGGAACCTGGATTCTTAACACTCAACACAACCCAAACAAAGTACAATATACCCAAACAGAACAATATTCCAACACATATCAGAGACAATTGAGAAAGCATTAATATGAATATATCTCTATATTGATTGATACAGAAATGGATAACAACAATAATGAAGAACGATTAAGAAAATAGTACTGAATGTAACGATAACCTAGCAATTCGAAGAGTTAGGGGCCTCCCTTACCATATCCCACCAAAATATTCTCTACCCTTTACAATTCCTATCCCTCAATTTATTCTCATAAACGTCACACCAATTCCATTGTAATTGCCACGTGGATAACCAACTCCTACTTGCACACCATGCCATTTGCCATTATTATTCCTTTTGTAAATTTGAGTTGGATGAGTTGGGGTCTTATCAAGGCCCAATGAGACCCATGCTACTATTGGCCTTCACCCATTGAAATATAATCCATGAAGTATCTAAATGAAAACAAACTTCTGTTTAACATGTCATTGCCTCCATCCAAACAAGGCTCAATAGCTTAGGATTAAGATTAATACAGCATTATAGATAATCTTGTCCTATTCAGATCAATTCAATCGAATCTCAAGAAAATAACTCAGTCTATTATAGTATGCCAAACACACCATTGTATGCATGTGTTAAACCTGTCCACTTCAATTATCATATGATTTTTCAAATGTTGGCTTTTGGCTCCTTTGGCTACACAATTACATAACTATTCAGCTCAATACTACAAATTTGCATCATTGCTGCTCATCGAAGCACTTTTAACTATTGTCCTGCAGTGTTGGAGTTGCCTATCACAATCTTGGGCAGTTTTATCTTGTCCAACGGAAACTAGAAGATGCTCGTAGGTGCTATGAGGTAATATGTATTTGTTGATATTTATTATATCTGGAGTTGCCATTATGTTATGGGGTTCCTTAGCTTAGCTTTTAAGGTTTTTGTACGTCACTAATGTTTTTGTGCTTAGTTGTAGGACTTAATGTCTCTTCCATTGTTGGAGGTTCTTTTCTTTTGGATTGAGGCAAGAACTTGCAACAAACAGTTATGTCGCTAAAAATAAAACATCTGAATAGCTGTTTGTTTGAGTCAAAAAGTGGCTTTTTTAGGAGCTCTTTTTCTTTCAATTTTCCATTTTGAATTTTAATAATCAAACACACCAGAAAATGTATATTATGCTATATCAGAGGTATGCAAGGTGCAGAAACTTAGGTAGCCAGGGGTATGGAGCATAATTAAGCTGCAATGCTGCTTTGGTTCTCACTGAGGACAAAATGATACAAAGTTGTTGATGATTTTGTTATCTAAAAAGCGTGTGAATTGCTTGATATCCTTTATGTTGAAGGCATTATGATGACTGGATTATAAAGAAAATTTGCTTCAATGGAATCAGAAGACATTGTATTACATTTGATTTTGTGATTTCTCCCTCTTCGTTCTTTTTGTGGAACATTATGTTTACCTTTTTTGACGAGAAGCTAAAAAATATCATTACTTGAAGAGATTACAAAGAGTGAAACAAGTTGTCCACAAAAGAAAGAATCCATCTAAAGGATCACAAAAGGCCTATACAGCAAAGTTTACCTTCACTATGTATGATTGAAATTATCTTTCTACTAATATCTCAACTTGTGCTGATGCGTTTTTTTTTTTTTTTGTTTATTTTATGTTTGGTGATTTCAACAGCATGCTTTAAAGGTATGAACCAAAATCAATGTTTGTGATTGTGTTATTAGGCATAACTGTGAAATAATAATCTCAAAATCACCTTATCATCCAGATAAAGGGACGTGTTCTGGGACATGGTAATGTAGACTATGCTGATACAATGTATCACCTTGGGACGGTAATTTATTATTTGTTTATTATTTGTCATTAGTTTTGTTTGTCTTCTCATTGTTATATATATATATATATATATTACTTTTTTCTTTGATTGACTTCTTAAATGCTTTACAACCTTCATAATAGGTTTTGTATCTCCAAGGAAAAGAAAAGGATTCTGAGGCCCTTTTTCAGGATTCTATCGGGATATTAGAGGTGCATCAAAGTTTTACTTATAATGCTGATCTTGGGCTTTCTGCACTTAAGCAAATTGACGTTGCTGGCCTGATTGAATGGTTTGATTATGTAGGAAGCTGGTCAAGGTGAGTCAATGACATGCATAAGGAGGTTGCGATATCTCGCTCAGGTTAGAATCTGTCAGCTACTTCAATATCTTGATTCTTAAACATAATTGAATTCCTTTTTCTACCTAAATTCAAAAAGACGCCAAAGAAAATGGACCTTACTTATAAGGAGGTATATCTCATATATGTGTGGTTCAATATATTTGAGTACAATGTTATTCTGTTTAGTTACTTATCGGGCTTCTCAATTTTTCTCTAGACCTACTTATCTTTTTTCTTTTCTTTCTAGATATATTTAAAAGCAAATCGACTTGAAGAGGCTGAGAATATACAAAGGAAAATCCTACATATTATGGAATTATCAAAGGTTTGTCTCTTTTTTGTTTAGTTATTGGGCTTCTTAATATTATTCTGTTTACTTTAGAGTGAATTTATTTAGACAGCCAATAGCAATTGCTACTAGGCAATAAGAGCTAAGAGCAAATACATTCTTATTTTTCCTAGTGATCTGTGACAACATATATGTGGTTTAAATCTAAAATAGTAAAAGCTCTAGTAGTTTAAAAATTTGTGAAGGACTCCTTACTGTTAATCTCTTCTCAAGTAATTTATCCTTTGACAATAAAAATACAAAATTTGCTCCATCAAAGAATTGAAGCAAGTTTTGAGCTCTCAACTACTTCATGTTATCTTCACTTTCTTGCATTCTCTAAGTTAGTAGAAAACATTCTGTAATAAAATTTCAAAGAATATTGTAACTCTTGCTGGAATTAAGACTCTATACTCCCCAAAGTAAAATTAAAGGCATGATTGGACACTATATGGTTGCCTTGGATGTGCCCTGGTCCTGAGGAGCCAAAAAGGGATCCATGACCTTACCTTGGCTTGAACATAATCCCAGTGTCAACAGTGAGTAGGGTGACGTCAACGCCTGAAGGTTGGATCAATTAAATACAAAGTCAGCCCCAATAAGTTTAGGATTACTGAAGAAATCTCGAAGTCATATTTTTTTGGTGTAGAGTTAATATTCCTCAAAATAAATCCTAAATGGAATTGAAATCACAATCCTTTATATTTTGGAGTACTTTCTCTTTGAGAATCCTTACCTTATAAATTTTGCTTACCTAAAACGTGGTTGCCATCTATAAATCCTATAAGTATGGACGCGTTGCATGATATTCTGGGCATTATCTGCTTGATTCATGACTTGGGCACTAAAGAGATTAAGTCAACAACACTGCTGGTGTTCTTTTACCCTTTCCTTTTTTTTATTTTTTTTTTATTTGTGACTTGTGTAACACTTCAGATTCACAATGCCTACGAAATTTCACCATCAATATCTGACACCATCTATAGGAACATGATTTAGAAGCCACCTTACTGTGGTTTTTAACAACAAAACTGATGAAAACAAAACCACCATTTTTAAGTTGCAAGAAATTGAAAACAAAAATTTATAAGAAATGACTAGTGGTGGACATAAAAAGTAGCAATCTGGGGTCTGAAGTGCTAACTTTTTGATAGGCTCCCTATCAATAAGGTTTATCAATACAAGGGGAACAACGGTAGAAGGGTGTGAGACGTGTGAATCAACAGTAAAGGTGGTCTCTAAAAGTTGTCATGCCAATAGGATTCAATTAGAGGAAATGCACGTGGCAATAGAGTACGTGGCGAGAATATGGGTAAAGGTCACTAGTATATTAAGGCAATTAGAATAAGGAATAGACATCATTTTTCTCTCAAAGGTTGTCAATGGAGGCCCCTAGCTCCTCGAATTGCTAGGACTTTCCTTTCTTGTTTCCTTTGCTTTCGTTGAGTCTGATTGTGGTTCATCAGAACTATTCAATCTTCAATCAATATATTGTTGGTTTACATAATTGTTCTTGATTTTGTGGATGTGCTGTGTGTGAATTTTTGATTGAATTTGCTGGGGTCCCATCAAATTGGTATCAGAGCCAATGTTTTGGGTAATGGTAAAAGCAAAAATGGAATAGAGAGTTAACAGAATTGAGAAGGAGATGGGAAAAATGAAAGAAGAAATGGGGAGCATCAAGGGTTACCTCCTTGAGCTTTGAGAATGGATGAGGAGTAGAGATGAGAAAGACGAAAGTAAGAACATTGATAAGGCAGGAGTGACACACCGGAAGGATCAAATAACCTTGATCGACTGAAGGGAATCGAAAACAGCAAAGAAGATCACAAAGGAAAAAAACTGGTATTACTCGTGTTCAATGGCGAAGATCCATTAGGATGGACTTTCAGAGCCGATAGATATTTCTAGATGAACAAATTCCAAGAAGAAGAGAAGGTGGATGCAGCTGCCGTTTGCATAGAGGGACGCGCGTTGAATTGGTATCAGCGGGTTGACACCCGAGTACCGATTCTCTTGTGGAGCTCCTTCAAGTCAGCGCTAGTCGTACGTTTCAGACCATCGCACCATGGGACACCTTATGAGGCTCTGGTAGCGCTAAAACAGTCGGCAACTGTGACCGAGTTCAGGGAACAATTTGAGGCATTGTCAGCTCCCTTGCGTGAGGTAGGAGAAGACCTCCTCATGGGAATTTTTTCAAACGGGCTGAAGGAGGAATTGAGGGCTGAATTGAGATTGTGTAGGCCCAAAACGTTAATGGAATTAATTGAGCAGGCCCATTGTATTGAAGAAAGAAATTGGGTTTTAGAAAGGATCAAGCCCAAATTTAATGGAACCCACATATCCCAAACCCATAACCAGACCCAAAAACTAGATTATTACCAACGGGTGTCTTCAAATCCAGATGTAAGCCACCCAAATGGGTGGAACATTGCGATGAAAAACGCAGAAACCTTGCATGGGGTGAGGTCGCAAAACCGAAGCTGGGAAAGGATTGTGTTTTCGGTGTGATAAGAAGTTTGGGCCCAACCATCGGTGTAGAAACAAATCTCTACAGGTTTTGTTGATGTTGGAAGAAGAAAATGATACTGAGAAAGAAGAGGTAACGTCGGAAGCCGATGATGAACCAACCTCAGAAGGTAATCCTCTTGCTCTGTCTATGAATTCTATTGTGGGGATGACCTCAGACAAGACTCTTAAGCTTAGAGGTTTATTGGGGATAGAGGAGGCAATTGTGCTTGTTGACAGTGGGGCTTCCCACAATTTTATTTCACATGACTTAGTGCACAGGTTGGGATTGAGTGTGGAGAAGGGGAAGGCTTTTGGAGTCATGGTTGGAAATGGTTTCACGATTAGGGAGAGGGAATTTGCAGAAAAATTGGGTTAAAGATCCAGGGGATAGAGATACAATAAGATTTTTTTCCCTTTGAATTAGGTGGAGTTGATGTTGTGTTGGGTGTTGCGTGGCTGAGCACTCTAGGAGATGTGTGTGCTAACTGGAAAAACCTGACTATGGCTTTTGCTAGAGAAGGAAGGTTACGTTAAGGGGAGATTCTTCTTTAGTCAAAACCGTGGTATCACTCAAAGCCATGCTGAAGTCTGTACAGAACACAGGGGCTGGCTAGATTTGCCTTCTACTGCTTGCATTCATCCGCTTTTCCATGTGTCTCAGCTCAAGGGTAGCCTGCACAACTCTGTTCCCATCTAGCCTCTTCCCCATGGCCTCACCGAGGACTTGGAACTCACTGTCCAGCCCCAATCTGTTCTCGCTGTCCACTCTTTAAGGGATGGTACCAAAGAGGTGCTTATAAAATGGCAGACCCTACCCATGTTTGAAGCTACTTGGGACGCTTATGACCTCATTAACCTCCAGTTTCCTCTCTTCCACCTTGAGGACAAGGTGGCTCTTCAAGTGGAGGGTATTGATAGGCCCCCTATCAATAAGGTTTATCAATACAAGGGGAACAAGGGCAGAAGGGTGTGAGACGTGTGAATCAACAGTAGAGGTGGCCTCTAAAAGTTGTTATGCCAGTAGGATTCAGTTAGAGGAAATGCACGTGGCGGTAGAGTATGTGGCAGGAATATGGGTAAAGGTCACTAGTTTATTAAGGCAGTTAGAATAAGGAATAGACAGATCATTTTTCTCTTAAAGGTTGTCAATGGAGGCCTCTAGCTCCTCGAATTGCTAGGACTTTCCTTTCTTGTTTCCTTTGCTTTCATTGAGTCTGATTGTGGCTTATCAGAACTGTTCAATCTTCAATCAATATATTGTTGGTTTACATAGTTGTTCTTGATTTTGTGGATGTGCTGTGTGTGAATTTTTGATTGAATTTGCTGGGGTCCCATCAATTTTATCTTAGAAAATAGAGAGTCACATGCAAAGATGAAGGAGATAGACGATAGATGATGTGTACAGGTCAATATCCCTAGAGGACAGGTGTCTAAACCAAGTCATCTTGTTGAGGAAAGAATGAGAGGCGATTTGGACCAAAGTTGATAATCATGTGACCAATGTACCTTGAGGATTATGTATCTTGGCTACCAATGTCTGTTTATTTCTTTTCTTTTCTTTCTTTGTTTTTTTAGTTTTTTTTTTTTTTTTAAGCTTTAAAGTAGGTTTTGATAGGAAAACTCCTTACCATTAAAGCATAGCATATTGTCTTCTTAGACAACGTTCATCCTGCAGCAGCTGATGAAGGTGTAGTATATCATTGTAGAACAGTCTATATGTGGAAGTATAGAGATACCCTTCATCATATGTATGAATGATTTCTCTTTTTATTTTATTTGTATTATTAAATTATAAACATTGACTTTAGGTGTTGTTACATGGTGATTGTTTCATTTTCTATATTCCTTGTCTATCAACAGTACAACCTAACTAAAATATATACACACACTCAGCAATTACATATATACCCTTTACATATACATAGTTTCTAACACTCTTCCCTCAAGCTGGAGCATATATATCTATCATGCCCAGCTTGTTACAAATATAGGTTATCCTTTTACCAACTAGAGACTTCGTGAAGATGTCAGCTAGTTGTTCCCCTATTCTAACATGATTAGTAGCAATTAGCTTTTGTTCAACTTTCTCTCGTGCAAAGTGATAATCCACTTCTATATGCTTAGTCCTCTCGTGAAAGACTGGATCGTTTGCTATATGTATGGCTACTTGGTTGTCACATTACAAGTCCATAATCCTTGGGTCACCAAACGCAATTTCTTTAAGAAGATGTCTTGTCCATATAAGCTCACACGTAACTTGTGCCGTAGCTTGATACTCAGACTCTGCGCTTGACCTAGCTACAACCGGTTGCTTCTTACTTTTCCAAGAAATAAGATTTCCTCCAACAAAAACACAAAACCCAGTCACAGACCGTCTATCCACAGAGGATCCTGCCCAATCTGCATCTGAAAAACCTTCTACCTTATTATGACCATGATCATTGTAAAGAATCCCACGTCTAGGGGCTCTTTTTAGATACTTCAAA